ATACATATATATGTATATAAAAAATCATTTAGTTTAAAAAAAAAAAAATTTATAAAGGTGTCTTATTCACAATATTCTATCAATATATTATTAAAATTAATAACATATAAAATAAAAATATTCGGTTTTTTTGGCAAGGTGGTTAATTATAGGTGTAACTAATGCAAACCTAACCTCAAGTTATTGAAATTGTATAAAATTATGGATTTTTTTTTTTTATCGCTACGGCGATATATTCGCTAGTCCTCAAATGTCACGTGTTTAGACTATTATCATGTGATTAGTTTATCGTTATTTTTATTAAAGTAAAGCAATAACTATACAAATTAATTATTAACAATTATTAACATATTACTATTATCTTTTCTATTGATACGATACATTCTTTCAATTAATACATTTTTTCTATTGATACATTATTTCTATTCATGCATTCTAATTAATTATTCCCGACCAACTTTCACATACGGATGTTAAATTTCTTGTTCCTAGTTATAGAAATAAAATTTAATGTAACTTGCGTAAGAAACCATAATATTTACATACTCTGATGATATAGTACCTTGCAATTTTTTTGATAGTGGCCAACCTTTCCACATTTTCTGCAATGTCGTTGGTTTCTTGACTTAGGTTTAGGAGCCTCAGTGGATGACTTGAACCTTTTAGTACCCAATGGTCGTCCTTTACCACATCTTTTCTTCGGATTTCGCAATGTTGGCGTTAAAGGATCAACATTTTCTTAATCACTTATTTCATCCTCTGGATTAATTTCATTAATTTCATTCAACTCTTCGAAATCTGATTCCCCATCTTCCATGAATTCTTGTAACAGATTGATAAGCTGTTCTGATTTAGAATTAGATCCTAAAACCTTGTTTAACACTTTTTTATACATTCCATGTAATTTTCCATAGATGAGTTTCTGTTCCATAATTGTTTGTCTATCTTCACAAAACTCATTATTGTATTGATTAAATAAACATAAAGTCATATTAGAATCGGAAAATCCATCATAATTATAAGTGATATTTTCATATATAAATTTGTCAGCAACTAAAAACAGTTCTTGCATAGCTTTTTTAACATCTTTGTTGTCATCATACCATCAAGAAGGAATAAATTGTACATGAAAAAATGCTGTTTTAGTCACCAACATTACCTGAAAGTAATGTCTACTACATACAATTCCATTTTGCACAATAGAGAGATATGAACACAAATAACCTTGATTTTGTAATAATAAAACATGGTGTTTGATATCCAATGAATTGCCAACTTTAATAGTCCATATTTTCCTTATATTAGGCGATCTAACAATTGATTCAAAGTGGCATTCAGAATATCACCAGATAATTGTTCAGTTGTAACTTCAAATGATTCTTCCTATATAGTAATTATACGCTCTATAATAGGAACTTAAAAAAATTTAAATAAAATTTGATTTTATGATTGGATTTTAATTTTATAAAAAAAATTAAACTCTATTTATTAAATGGAATTGATTTATAAAATAAAAAAAAAGTCTCAATTTTTCAGATTATGTAAGCATCACGTGATACATATATTAAACAATCAGAAATTAGGATTTTATAAGTTATATGATATAAAATTTATAAAATTTATTTATTTATTGTATTTCATTATAAACTGATGAATTAGGTATACGATGATGAAATTTATATTTTATTATATGTATTTTTTGACCAAATTAAAGTAAAATTACTTAGTTTTTGAATTTTTTCATTTATAAATTCATCTGAACTGTCTTTTAAATATTCACTTGATGGTAGTATATAATTATCATCTATAACATTAAATTGATCTATATTTAAACAACTTTATTTATTAAATCTTTTTTTGCAGTTTTAAAATTTTTTTTCTTCTTGGCATATTAAAAAAAAAATCTGTACATTAAATCTATATATTAAAAAACACTGCAATCACGTGGGCGTTATGTTTAGATTAACCATATAAATAAGTCATTTGAATTGTGTAACCATACTCCTATTCGTCACCAATATTACACAAGACCAAAAAAAGCAATTTTATTTCTGGCGAAAAAAGGAAATTTTGTCTTCTGTTAGGGTGGTGACATATATTACGTAATATTATTTTATTATAGACGCTTACCCCACCCCCAGGTAAGATATTGTGATCACGTGACTGTAGATCACTTTCCTTTTATAGAATCGTGCATCAATATTTCATCAGTATTTCATCAGTATTTCATCGGTTTTTTTTTAAAAAAAAAAATAATCGGTTTAAAATTCAATTTCATTATTTTTAATACTATAAAACACGATAAATAAAAATGATATGAAACAATGTTTGATATAACCATTTTATTTATATTCACAAGTTTATATATATAAAATTCTCAATTCCCCACATTCTTAAATTCTAAAATAACAAGTCCAAAAATCTTAAACGTCCGTATAATCAAAATATGACATTAATCACAAATGAATCAATGATATTCCATGAAATATATAGTATAGCGATTGCAACACCTATTACTGTTTGTAGTTGCGATTCGCATTTTCTCATTACAAAAGGAGAAATTGAATTTGCCGCAAAACTTCATCCAGTTATATTTAGGTTTTAAACTCTCAACACGTCAATAAATCTTTTCCCATTTTATATTCCCAAAACTTTGCAAGCTGTTTTCTTTATTAACATTAAAATACAAGAAACTTGAGTAGTTACAGCTTAAAATGAACCGTCAAACCTTCTTTCTTAGCCCCAAGTTTAATAAGAAACCGATTTATAATTTACAAACAAATAAGTACCAGGAATTCACCAATACTTACGTATATAGTTATGGTTAAGACTGGAAACGGTGACCCTAACCGCGCTGAACTTTATGAATCAGCAACTAAAGAATGGAACAATATTAAAAGAAAGGATAAACCGGAAATTGATGACATTATTAGAGGTTACCTGGCCACGCCATATAATCTATGTGATATACAAACAGTAAGGTCAAAATCATCCGGGTCTAGAGAAGAATCCCTTCTAAATCTTTTCACGTTTCATACAGTGGATCCTGTTCAGGAAATCTCTGTTAATGCATCAGCTCAAAAAAAGGCAGCAAACGAGATACAAATAGCTGAAAAAAAGCTTACCGAGTTTGAGCAGATCTACAACATCACAACCGATTCTCAATTTTGGCTTGATACTTATAAAAAAATAGGAGATCTTTGAGATGAAATCAGATCTAATAAGGAGAGAATCATTAAATTAAAGAAAAATGCTAGTTATTCTCAAAAGTGCAGAGAAAAAAAAAGAAAAATACTTAACGAAAATCAGGAAGTAATACAATATGACAAACCTGGTCGTCCTTCACTTCTTTTTGAACATCCGAATTTACATGATCATATCCATGATTCGATCGAATTTGGAGCGGCTGACGAAAAACGACAAAGAGAAGTTGTCAAAGTCCAGATCATTAAAAATTTGCGCAAAACCCTTGAAGAAAATTATCACATTTATATGGCGAAAACCACATTGAACAATTACTTGTTGCCTCAGCAATCCAACTCCATCGCTGCAAGAGCACATCATCATCCAGCATGGGTCGCAGTAGCTGGTGTCTCACGTACCAAAATACGAGATCATCCTGATGGTCATTATTGCCTTGCATCTGTTAAAAGCGCAAGACAATTTGCCACCGTTTTTGCCGACAAAGCAGTTATTATTTCGCAAGATGATAAGGCGAAGATAGGTCTTGGAGTACCCGCTGTAGGTCAGACATTTCGCACTTTGCAATCAGTACATGAGCCGGTTGGTGTGGCTGACCATGATTTTTCTCTAGGAAGTGGGCAGAAGTTAGTTCCATCAGTTTACCTTATGATGAAACCAAATGAATCGAACGATGAGTTACGAACGGGATAACTTGCCATCTTTGTACGTTGTCAATGGTCCCTTGGTACATCCTCGCTCTCACATATACAAGACCTCGAAAATCTTGCTTTGGATCCTAAATATAGTGATGTGTTAAAAACAAATGGGGAGGTTCGACCTATTTGGGTATTATTAGTGGATGGAGGTCTGGACGAAAATCCAAGACATCTAAAAAACATTAAAAACTACTGCCAACTTTTTTGAAAATTCGACTTAGATTACCTGACTGTGCGAACACATGCTTCAGGTCAGTCCAAGTATAATCCGGTTGAAAGAGGCATGGCAACACTATCCAGAAAGTTGGCTGATATCATGCTACCGGTTGATCATTTTGGATCACACTTAAATACACAAGGCAAAGTAATCGATCTGGAGTTGGCTCTTTAAAACTTTCAATACGCTGGAGAATCACTTTGCGATATTTGGCGTAAAGATCTGATTTTTGGAAAAAGCGTTGATGCACAGTATGTTGAAGAGCTTACTAATCCATTTGAAAACCTAGAGTTTGAGGGAACAGTCAAAGAAAAAGAAGAAGAGCGAAAACAACAAAAGAAGAAACAAGAAAATGAAAATGACATACCGGAATGTTTTGTTCCATGGTCATGGATCGAAAACCATTGTAATTTATGTCAGTATTCTCTCGATATTAAACGTTGTACAAATGCAAGTTGTTGTGGGCCATCTCGTGCAAAAGAAGCTACAGAACTTCTTCTCTTGAATAATGGTTTTTTGCCCCCAATTACGAAAGCTAAAGACAGACATTTCACAAATACCATAAATCTACTTGAGTATTATGACCTCTTGAAAATTACTGGGTATGATTCAAATTGCCCGTCGCTTGATCAAACAACCTATTCGCGCCTTTGTTGCTCAGTGTGAAACAAATACTTTCCAACTCTTGCTTATTTGACAAAACATAAAAAAGCAATGCATCCAGCAAGCCGGGGACGACATAAGGGAAAATCCAAGAATAATTCAAATTCTCTTGATGATTCCTCTCTTCTTACTTCACAACAAAACGAAATGTGTTTAAGGGAATATATGTCAGATAATGAATGATTGTATATAGCTTACTGTTTCTCGAATACAATGCATGGATATAAAACAAAATTTTTTTTTTTTTTTTAATAACTCTTTATTAATATTGTAATTAAACGAAAAATATCAATGCATTCGCAATTACAACTAGGAAAAATTTTTCCATTAATAGTGACCTAAAAACAAATTTTATTTTGTTAACGTGGGAAACCATAGTAACACAAATGACTAATAAATTCTAAGCCACTAAATCGGTTATATACTTTTAATGATATCACGTGATCCATATTAACGTAAGATTTTTCGTGACCCCCACCCCTAAAATATTACGTAATAAATGTCATCGCCCTTACTTTTCAGAGAAATTAAAAAAATTGTGTTGCTCAAATTTCCAAAAAAGGAAATTCTTTGCAGATCTTTTAATTCTGGCCGGAATTACATATTAACTGTTGTCGTAGACAACAGATGAACACTAATATGATTAAAAAAACCTGTAATACAAAAATTTAAATTAGTCTCAATTTTGACTAAATTTAATCAATATATTTAAATTACAGATTTTTAAACAGCTAAAACTCAGCCAAAATTTAATTTAGAAAAAAAATAACTGATAATTTTTAAAGCTAATAGTCATATCTATAAAAATTATTGGTTAAATTTTTTACTTTAATATAAAAAAATTTTTTTTTAAGAATTTATAATCAATCAATTGTTACTATACATAAGTAGTTGAGTATAGAGGTTTTGCACTATATGATAAATTGTTTATTAGTAATTATTAATAAATTTGTATGTAAAATACTCATAATAAATCTACTTAACAATTTACCTCATGTACGTCAACATCTTAAATTAACTGGTTTGCCACATAATATAAGGATTGATTCATCTCATTATGATGCATTTTTAATATTATTGGCGTAAGAAATTCTTGCAAGCATTAACCAATTTTTGAAAATAAAAAATTTATATCATTTTGATTTTTTATATGAGGAATTGATAGATGCCAATATTAAAAATGTAATATATAATTGATAATTACTATCTTGTGTTGTAAT